CCCCCCCCTTTAGTTTATGACCATGTGTCTCAAGTCCTTTAGATTCTATATTTCCCATGCTATTCTTGCCCCCCCATCTATTTTCTATCTACTGTCTATGCTACTTATTTTCTGTACCTTCTCCCCCCATCTCCTCCTCCCACTCCCCTGTTGCTAACCCTCCTTGAGATCTTCATTTCTGTGTTTCCACTCCTGATCTAGCTGTCCTTTTAGTTTGCTTTCGTTTTAGGTGTGGTTGTTAATAACTGTGAGTTTGCTGTCCTTTCACTGTTCATGTTTCTTTAACTTCTTTTTCTTAGGTAAGTCCCTTTAACATTTCATATAATAAGGGCTTGGTGATGATGAACTCCTTGAATTTGATCTTATCTGAGAAGCACCTTATCTGTCCTTCCATTCTAAATGAAAGTTTTGCTGGATAGAGCAATCTTGGATGTAGGTCTTTGGATTTCATGACTTGGAATACCTCTTTCCAGCCCCTTCTTGCCTGGAAGGTCTCTTTTGAGAAATCCGCTGACAGTCTGATGGGAACTCCTTTGTAGGTGACTGTTCCCTTAGCTCTTGCTGCTTCTAGGATTCTCTCCTTCATTTTAATCTTGGCTAATGTAATGATGATGTGCCTTGGTGTGTTCCTTCTTGGGTCCAACTTCTTTGGTACTCTCTGAGCTTCCTGGATTTCCTGGAAGTCTATTTCCTTTGCCAGATTGGGGAAATTCTCCTTTATTATTTGTTCAAATAAGTTTTCCACTGATGGCTGTGCCTTTCCCCCTTCTGGTACCCCTATAATTCGGATGTTGGAGCATTTAAAGATGTCCTGGAGGTTCCTAAGACTCTCCTCATTTCTTTGAATTCTTGCTTCCTGACTCTTTTCTGTTTGGCCATTATTTGCTTTCTTCTGGTCCACTCCATTGATTTGAGTCCCAGTTTCCTTTTCATTGCTATTGGTGTCCTGTGCAATTCCATTCATTTCAATTAGTTTCGCCTTCATATATTTGTCTAATCTGTGGGTATAATCAACCAGTTCTGTGAGGATCCTGATGACCAGTGTTTTAAACTGTGCGTCTGAGAGTTTTGCTATTTCTTCATCTCTTAGATCTATGGGCTCTGGGGCTTTGAGATCTTGCGACACTTTTGGTCTGTTCTGGCCCTTTAAGTGTGAGAAGCGGCGCCTTGGACTCCCAGGTCGCTGGGTTGTGACTGTATGTGGGGGCGTGGTCAGAGCGGGGAAATGGCGGCGCCCTCCACTGCCGCTTGCCGCGGGGACCGCTGGGCCCCGGTCTAACCGCCCACTCCCTCGCCGGTCCACTCGCGCACAAATGGGCGACCACAGTCAACATGCAGCACCGCTTCCCCTCTGTCTCCTCTGTGGTTGCTCACCTGGTGGCTCGCTCGGTCGCTCACTAGGTCCAACCCTGTGCCTGAGTCCCTCTGACCGAGTCCTCCTGTGCAACCCCTCACCAGCCGCTGGTTTCGCCCCTTACCGGTCAGGCTGAAGAATTTGTTGTTAATGGACTTCCGAAAAGTTCAGTTTTCCGTGTTCTGGCTGTGTTTTCTGTTGCTAATATTTAGTTGTCTCTAAACTTGGTTGTGTGAGAAGGCACGGCACATCCACCTATGCCTCCATCTTGGCGGAAGTCCCTTACCTATGTAATTTTAAAACATTTTTAATACAAAGAAAGAGAGGTCTCACTCAGCTTTGCAGCAGGGGCAATTAAGAGGCACAGTCTGAGAGGAGCTAAAAGGAAGGCGAAATGAAAGAGCGCCCCTGAGAACTGGGAGCCCCGCACTCCCCTCCCCAATTACATTTCCTGTTTTCTCTTCATCTGCAGTCACTTGCGGTTTTGAAATCCGTTATACCACATTTCATATCATAGGCAGAAACACCACTCTCTTTCTCTTCCTCCTCCTCCCCTCGCGGACACACCAATTTCATTTTTTAATTGAGTAGTCAAAGGCTCATGTTATGAATAATGAGTTATGGTGGTTCCAGCTGTGCACCTTTCTCTCATTACAGGTATTCTGAAAACGGAGTCCCTTAAGCACCGAGTGTGCAAACTGTGCCCCTCAACCCCCCCGCCCCTCTTTGACCTTTGTGGTCTAGTAAGCAAGCAGTATTTGAGGTCTGTGGGAACCGAGTGTGCATCGGCATCAACGGAGAATTTCCTGCCTCCCTTTAAAACTGAGGTGGACAGGTTAGTAGCTGTCATTTGGAAGGATCAGACCAAAGCAAAAAGTTTGCAGCTCACTGCCGATGACTGGGCTTTCCCTAAACTTTCTCCTTCAGTCTTTGCATGTAGATGTTAGGAAAGGACACAAACCCTGAAGGTTTGCCCATGTGTCACTTACTGGTGGGCCTGATCTCTCATACCTTCCCTTTCCCCAGGTCTGTTCCCAGCCCTGAAGACCAATCTCTGACAGACCTTAAAATATTCAGAATGATCAAAAACCAATGAATAATTCAACGATGCACAATGGAATATTAAGCAACTGATAAAAATATTTTCTAAAAATATTTAACAACATGGGAAAATAATTACCAAACACTGTTGGGCGGTGGAACCTGTACATACAGGATCATTCCAATCATGAAGGAAAAGTATATATGCATTTTTAAAAATTTAAAAGACCATAACAAGATGGTGACAATGGCTACTTTGGGTGGAGGGGCTATAAGTGTTGTTGCTTTTCTGTGTTTTTAAATTTCCTACAATAAGCATATTTTACTTTTATTTTTTAAAGGGTTTTATTTATTTATTTTTTGAGGAGGGGGGCAAAAAGAGAGGGAGAAAAACATCTATGTGTGGTTGCCTCTAGCACACCCCCCACTGGGGACCTGGCCTGCAACCCAGGCATGTGTCCTGACTGGGAAGCAAGCTGCCGACACCCGCTCCCAGCTCCCACCACCTGCACGCACCCCACCCCCACCCCTGGCCATTTGCAGGCTGGCACTCAACCCACTGAGTAACTCCAGCCAGGGCCATATTTTACTTTTATAATTCAAATACAAAGGTTTTGTAAAAAAGTTCTATGACGATTCTTTCCTAGGCGGAAAAGTGGCCTCAGGCATTGCAGCAAAATCTTCAGCTGCAACAAAAAAAGGTGCTTTAAATACAAATAATCAGAAAATTCAGGTGAGTATTCAGCTTCCAGGCAGTGTTACTGTAATATTAAAATATTTCTTTTACTAATAGTATAATAAAACCTACCATTATCCTTATTATAACATTATTATTATATATAACATTATTATACAGCATAACTTATTATTATAAATATTCATGTGCATATTTATAATAAGTAAAATCACATATCCTGAAACATGTGCCAAAAAGTCTTAAAAGACTGAGGTGGGTGACAGCCCTATCTGCTGCCTCCACTGCGGTCAAGGCCGCGGAGGCCACCATTATAATCAGCCATAAGAGCCATGAAAACACTGATAAGTTCCCAGAGGTTAAAAAAAAAAAGCCCTCCAGTGTGCCTCACACATCAAATGTCAGGATTTCCCTTGTGCTGATTAAGCCAGGCTAAGAGGAAACGGACAGTAGTAGCAATGCCCTGGGCTGGAAGAGAGCAATTTGGGAGCTTTGCCAAAGAGAAATAAAGCCTGCAAAAGCTGGCAGCAACCCTTTAGGGGCCCCAGAAATGCGGTTCATTGGGGGAGCAGCTTAGGGTACCCTGGTGATGCACAAAGACTCTCCTCACCATACAGGCAGAAGGCCCATTTTTGGCAAATCCAGTACATGAAACTCCAAGTTTGAACTCACCAGATCAATTCCAGAGTGGCTTTTCATTCTATTAAAGGATTCACAGCAGGATTCCATTAAATAGCCAGCTCTCCGTATGCATTTAAAATGGGACTCAACCGACAAAACTTCAGCTGTCTTGTTCCTTTATAAGATAAAGGCTGCCCTGGCTGGTGTAGCTCAGTGGATTGATTGCGGGCCTCTGAATCAAAGGGTCACCGGTTCGATTCCCAGTCACGGCAAAACCCCAAGGGGCACATGAGAGGCAACCACACATTGATGTTTCTCTCTCTTTCACCTTCCCATCTCTCTAAAAATAAATAAGTATCTTAAAATATATTTTAAAATAAAAAAGGAAGACAAAGACTTTATACACCTACAGGAGCTGACAATGTCTGAAGGGTTGTTTCCAGTCCACTTACCACTTAGAGACCCTGGTAAAGCTAAATGCCCGGACTTGCCTTCTCTCCAACTCTCTCCCCCCCCAACTCAAGGAGCCTAAGGAAGGGGTGGAGTAACATTCTGCCACCTCATTCAGAAGCAGAAGCAGGCAAAGAACTAAACAAAATTGGCTGGAAAACCTGGAGACATAAGAACCATACAATATTTGAGCTGGTAACGCCCTTAAAGATCACCTAGTCCAACCCGCTCATTTTACAAAAGGGGAAACAGAGACTCAAAGACAGGAAATGGCTTGTCCCAAGTCAGAGTGATTTAGTGTCAGAGAGTAGTGCTAGGATCCAGGGCCCTGTCAAGCAGACTGCCACTGTCAAATGGAAAAGCTGCCTCAAGTGGGAGATACAGATTTTTATGCTGCTAAAATTCCGGGACTTTGAATTTACAGCCTGATGCTTAGTTGGAGGGAAAAGAGCCGTGGAACATGACCTGGAAGCCTATGGGCTCCCCAAGGTGGCTATGGCCCACGGAAGGCAATTGTCGCAGGGGATATCATGGAGGGGTTTTTGCCCCTATTCTTCATTCTCTCCGCCATTTCCCACTCTTCTGACTCCGACCTAAGCCTGAGCCTGGCCGATAGCCTAGCTCTGCTCAAGAACCCCAGGGCTACCTAACCCAACAAGCCAAATTCTTAAGCAAAATTATCTCCACCTCAGTCCAGGGGCGACTCCCTGCTCAGAGTGAGTCAACATTCCCACAAAAGCCAGATAGGTTCCCTTTGAGCTAGGCTATTTAAACAGAGTTTTCTAGGTGTATCTGGACATTGTAATCTCCAATCTGTTAAAAAAAAAAAAGTTTACTCACAGGCCTCTGGAAGAATGCCCAACTGTCCTCTGGGGAGCCTGAATTTGCCTCTGCCTCCATCTGGTCTCATTTAAAGGGGATCTGAAAAAACCTAGTTCCTGCCTCAGCGCCAGTGCTCAGAGCTAGGGGCCTCCGCTGTGAAAGGAAACCCAAGGCTACCTCACACTTCATCAAAGGCTGAAAGCAGAGTTCTGCCCCTGTTACCCTAGGGCCTTCATTAGGGGTCACAGAGGGCCATGGCAGCAGAAACCTGAGCCCTGCGTCCTGTCCCTGAGAAGACCTGCAAATCTGTTCCCCAGTCACCTTTGAATGGAACGGATGACCCAACTCCCGGGCCAGCTAAGAGCACACTGCATAATTCAGCAGATGGCTGCTTCTAATGAGAAGACACTGAAGGAGAGGATAACATTATGTCTAACCCTCCTGAACATGTGGCCTCCTTCCTCTGTGCAAGCAACAGAGAAACCCACGGCTTCAAATCCCACATCACGGCAGCAGAAGCCTCCTCCTGCCAAACCGAGGACGAAGGGTCTGTGTTTCTAATTTATTCTGCCCCCTTCCAGTTGTTACTTAAAATAATCCATCATTACATGGCTGGTGGCTCCAGGAATTTTATTTAAAGCAATATGGAGAAAAAAAGAGAGAAAAACTCACGACTGCTTTCTGGATTTAAGTTGAGAATGTTTTTAACATCAAGAGTCTTCGAAGCACTCAAGTATATTCTCCTCTGACCCCCATGAGTGTGTCATGAGGGGCCAGTGCAGTGAAAGAGGGAGAAGAGAGGACATGGCAGAATTTTTATTTCTCGGAAACATGAAAAGACCACAAGTGTTTTTTTAAATGAATCTGTGTCATCTGGTAGGTGTGTTGTTGTTTTATCCACTGACCAGCAATAACACTTTGGACCCATTCACTTTAAAGAGGGCAATAATACTTGTCCAGGAAGCTGTTGGGGAAAATGAAATCATACAGATGGAAGCATTTTGAGATCGTTGAAAGGAACATGTTACACTTATCCATGGTACTCGTTTTCTTTTCTCCCTCTTTCTTTCTTGAATGTGGTTTTAATGTTCATGTAATAGAAGCCCTTCTCAATTGTTCATGTTGACACGAAACCCCAATTCTGACAGTCCAAGAGCCCACGCAAGTCCAGAAGTCAGTCCTGTTTCACTCTGGAATACCTTTTTCCAGGGGAATTAGCCATCTAATTAGATTTGTTCCCACTAGTCCACCTGGTTCACTCACTCCCTTCAGCACACAAAGGGAGGGGCCATGCTGAGTAACAAAGCCAGCAATTAATAGAAAATTTACATCAGAGACTCCACAAAGTAAATGCTATGCACATGACCGCAGATCAAAATCTCATTATGCTATACAGACAAATCACTCAGCTGTAATGCAGTTATGGAATAAGAACGCCACTAACACATATTTCTGGGATTTAGAATAGGGAAAAGAAACAGGGCTTATTTCTGCCTCTCGTCAGAAAGCTGTAAGAGGGCAGCATCCTATTCGCCTTGACCACACTAGATCCCCAGCACTTGGAATAGGGCCTGGCAGACTCACTGCCCAATAAACACGCATTGAAGAAATGAATGAAAATAAATGTGTGTGAATTAACAAAGGAAATGTTCCCAGCCCAGTAGCAGAAGTGAGATCTCACCCATCTTCACACCTACCCTTTTCCTAGTTTGAAGCCCTCAGGAAGCCTGTCTCCTCACACACCACCTCCATCCACTGCTGGATTAGGTCTTCTCATAATGAATTTGCATAGCAGGCACTAGCTCTCCTGTGCAGCACTTACCACGTGGGAATTATATAGCCATTGGTGTCTGCCTCTCCTACCAGAATGTAAACTCCCGGAAGAAAGGGGCTGTGGGGGTGTGCATTGTAATTTCCTCCTCAACTTTTTAAAAAAGATTTTATTTCTTTCTTTTCAGAGAGAGGGGAAGGGAAGGAGAAAGAGTGGGAGAGAAACATCAATGTGTGGTTGCCTCTCATGGGTCCCCTACTGGGGACCTGGCCTGCACCCCAGGCATGTGCCCTGACTAGGAAATGAACCAGCAAACCCTTTGCTTCACAGACCCGTGCTCAATCCACTGAGCTACACCAGCCAGGTCTCCTCCTCAACTTTTTATTTTGAAGCCTCAAACACACAGAAGAGTTGGGAAATAGTACAATGGTCATCCGTATACACGTAACTTAGATTCATGAGGTTTGAATATTTGGAGCCATGTAAATTCTTCAGTGCTATATCCCCAGTATAGGTATGGGTGAATATTGGGGTTTGTTCTTCCTGTTTAAGATAAAATGTTACTTTCACTGTGAGATAGTGGAGATGGTCGAGGCACGGAGCTTCAAGGCAAATTAAGAACAGCAAGCCCAGAGCACAGCTGTCTGTTAGGCAGTTGCCGTAACACAGTCGCCCCCAGGCCAACCCTAGGGAGGGCAAATTTAGGCCCTGCGAGCTTTTTGTTAGGGAGGAAAGCTCTTTGTTAGGGAGAAAAGCTACTGGAAGAAAGCATCATTGCTTCTTTTTCTTAAAGATTTTATTTATTTATAGACAGAGGGGAAGGGAGGGAGAAAGAGTGGGAGAGACACATCAATGCGTGGTTGCTTCTCACGTGCCCCTACTGGGAACCTGGTCTGCAACCCAGGCATGTGCCCTGACTGGGAATCAAACCTGTGACCCTTTGGTTACCAGGCCAGTGCTCAATCCACTGAGCCACACCAGCCAGGACTCAAGGGTCTTTCTATGAGCCAGCACTTACAGTCTATAATTCAAAATGTAACATTGAAACAGCTCATTGCAAAAAGAGGGGAGGGGAGGGGAGGGGAGGGGAGGGGAGGGGAGGGGAGGGGGGGGGAGGGGGGGGAGGGGGGGAGGGGAGGGGAGGGGAGGGGAGGGAGGGGAGGGGAGGGAGGGGAGGGGGGGAGGGGGGGGGGGAGGGGAGGGAGGGGGAGGGGAGGGGAGGGGAGGGGAGGGAGGGGAGGGGAGGGGAGGGGAGGGGAGAGGAGAGGAGAGGAGAGGAGAGGAGAGGAGAGGAGAGGAGAGGAGAGGAGAGGAGAGGAGAGGAGAGGAGAGGAGAGAGAGGAGAGGAGAGGAGAGGAGAGGAGAGGAGAGGAGAGAGAGAGGAGAGGAGAGGAGAGGAGAGAAAAAGAAAAGAAAAGAGAAAACAGGTAATTGCAAGAGCCAGGAATGCAGCCTCTGGGACCTACACTGTGCCTGGCCAGGTTACCTTGGCCAGGTCATGTCTCCCTTCACAGTATGTATATATTACTAGCAGCCAAGCCACCTCACAAACAGGGGTTGGAGGTGCAAACATCCAAAGAATCTGCTGTAGTTCTGTAATTATTGTGTCCACAATTTGTCTTCCCAACTAGACTGTAAGCTTAAAAGCCAGGAATGATGGCTACTACTTTTTTTTGTAGAGTCGACCAGGGCTAGCCATCATGCTAGGCACTTAGCAGTCAATCAAATAAACACTTGTGGTCACAAACGAGAAATAAATCCTTTTGTCATGCAGAATCTTTGTAGTGTTCATTCAAATGGGATGAGATTGTATTATGCAGAGGAAAACTGAACTTGCAAGTTGCATGCATGCCCAAATAAGGGCCCTACCCAACATCTCTAGGGCCTGTTTTAGTCTAGCCAGAGTGACCCACAAATGACTCTGAAAAGGACACACACACACACACACACACACACACGCCAGCACTACTTGCATGACACCATGTCTCAGAGCTCACTAAACAGAAGTTTTAAGCTAGGCACACTTAGGTTTATTCTCCAATCTTCTCTTCCCAACCTCTGGATTCATGTTCCCTGGAAGAAAGAAGCTGCAAGCAGATGTCCAAGGTCTCCTGAGTTAATTCCATCTTTCCCTGGTGAATTACAACTTCTTGCAGACACAAAGAACGGCAGAGAGACAAATGACACATTAAACAACAGCTTCACTGGCTGGGGGAGGGGGACATGGAGAGTGACGTCAGTTTTCCCAGAAACCCATTTATCACGATAACAAGGTCTCAAGTGCTCAGGCTGCTCTTTGAGCTTCAGAATCTGGCTTGCAATTATTGTTCTTCATCCTACAGTGTGGCAATGCCAGCCAGAGCAAACTGGAACCAGGCAAAGCATACCAAGTGGCCCTATCCAACCCCTATTCCCCCCCCACCCCACACCAATCTGCAGAACAAAGGGGATCTCTGGGTTGCCAGAGTTGTTCTGAGGTGAAACACAACCTTCTAGAAGGTTTCCCTTTGCAACATCTGCCCTGCAATCCTAATCCAGGCAAGGGAACTGGTGAGAGAGTACAGACAACTCAATGCAAATTAATTAGCCAACAAGAAAAATCATTAGCATCCTTTTTGGTCACGAAGGATGGGGAAGTGTAATCCAGGAGACTAATTCTTCTACTTAAGCCATGCCATCTCTAAAATGCGGGTAATGAGGAGAAAAGCACTCTGGAAACCCTCAAAACTCTAAAGTAATAAGTATTAGTGCCAATCTTGGGGAGAAGAGAATTCTCTCAAATTCCATTATGCCAGTGCATCCTATCTACTGAGTCCTTCCACATGGTGAATACCTAAAGTGCTGCGATCTGTAGGAGTTGCAGGGAGGTTCCAAAGAAATCATCTGCCCTTCCCAACAGGGACAACAGGGTGGAATAAATTCATATGTATCTTGTAGAGAAAATAATTGGATTCTAGATTCAAATTTTGAAAACAAATCAATTTCAATTATAACAAATACCTAGAGGCTATTTTTTTTGCACTGGAATTGCACTGCACACACCATTTCCCTTAATAAGTAAACCACAAGGTTTTAAAACGTGTGTGTGTGTGTGTGTTGAGATTTTCATCAAGTAGTATTTGGTGTCATGGAATTTGACCTACCTCTCCTTCACTCTCCTTCCTGGCCTCTGGGTGCTAGTAATTGTGGACTACTGAAAATTCCAGAAACCCACAGATAAATAGAAAGGCTTGGTTGTTTCCCCAAATGGAATCATCCCTTCCCTTTGCAACCAAACTTCTTGTCTAAAAAAACAAACATGGAGCCTCAGGTCACTTCAACATGATTTCTCTGTTCATTTCAGGCT